TTTCAAGTAGTTATATGATATAAGTTATAAAAACTAATATAATATAACACATGTAAGTCATAAGTAACACATATCATTCTAAAATATATAGTAATATATTTTTTTTTTTTAAAAAAAGTAAACTAAATTTAATATAATTTTTTCATGAATTTTAAAATTTAAGAATAATTTTTTAACAAGCACCCGTGTAATACACGGGTATTGTACTAGTTATATCATATAATAAATACACGGGTCAAAAATAGTTCTAGTAACATTTCACCTCACGAAACAATTGAATATATATTTATTAATAAATCCGCGGAGCCTGAAATTCAAATTGCCGAGGCCAATACGGTAACTTTGTCGTCACGCATCTGGCCCAGCCTGTCCGCCGCACCTTCTCTCCTCCGAACCTCGCCGGAGATTCTCTCTCTAGATCTACCACAAGCGAAAGCAATTCCATAACAAATCGAGCACTGTTTTGAAAGAAAACCTCACGTTGATTCGAAGCGCTAGCGGCCGGTCCCGTATCCAACCCCACCGGAAAATGGGGGATTTCAATTTAGCCCTAGTGATCGTCGCCATTATCGTCTGCGTGCTCGTGTTCATCTTCAACGTCTACCTTCTCGTCAACTACCAGCACCCGGACGATGCCAACCAGGCCTATTTCCCCAAATTCGTCGTCGTTTTGGGGCTCTCCATCGCCGCCATCTCCATCCTGATGCTCCCTGCGGACGTGGCCAACCGGCAGGCCTGTCGCCACGCGATTTACAACGGCGCGTGCAACCTGACTCTCCCCATGAAGGATTTGTGGCTGGCTATTTACATCGTGGATGCGGTTCTGGTTTTCTTTGTCATCCCGTTCGCCATGTTCTATTACGAAGGAGACCAGGACAAGTTGGGGATTCTTAGTGACCTTTTTTTTTTCCATGTTCTTAGCGTGATTCAATTGCGTTTGTGAAGGTTTTATTCATTCTAAATCATCGTGGCTGTTCTGATGGGCATTTCAGGACTGTATGGAAGAGAATGAAAAGCGCATTGATATGGGTGGTTGTGACGGCCGTTGTCTGTGCCCTTGTTCTTGGAATTTTATATGGTGAGGGCTGACTTCATAGCTATATTTTTTATTTTCTCGGTCTTCAATTAGTTTTAGGGCTTGTAATGTTAATTGCAAGCTTTGAGCTACCTAAGTCGTTCGATTCTAATTCAGAGAGGCTTCAGGTTCTGGTTTGTTATTGATGGTTAATGCATGATGTTTAGCAGATCCATGCTTTTGTTATAATTGTAGTGTGGTGCTACCGTTGACGCTTATATCTTCCGAATTCCGATATTAAGCTGTTAGTGCTATGCCACCTCAAGCCTGTTGCTCATATATTGTTATCCTCGATTATTCGAGTATTACACAGTTGAACTCTTGTTGTTCCTATTATGCTAACTGTGAGGATGTTGTTATTATACTGTGATTGATATTGTTTTAGATTGTTACCTGGAAAACTAGCTGGAATAAGAAGTTGATTGAGTACCTTTAATTCTTTTAATTTTGCTGCTTTTAGCATAATTTGTGGATGATTGTTTCCTAGGGCTTGTCGGGAAGGTTGACTTCACGGTTAGGCATCTTTCCTCATCAACTGTCTCCTTTCCATCATCATGGGACTTCTCAAGTACTCAACAATGTATTGCGAATGGAGCTAGGCAGGTAAGGAAGTATACTACTCATCATGTAAGTTACAGTTCCTTTTTGATTGCTGAATGTAGAACTAAAAGCTCATTCTATCATTTCATTTCAGTGCTCGGCATATACAGCCAATGCTTCATCTGAGACAACTTGGACCATGCAAACTACCTTCCCAGAATATGTTGTTGCACTTGCAACAATTGTTGGATCCGTGCTTTTCACTGTATGTCCATCTTTCAAATATCTGACTGAAAAATTCATAATCGCCATGATTGGAATATTGTGTATTCCCTTTTTATGGTTGAATCTCTAATCTGTTTATGAATCTCCAATCACTATGACCGAAAAATTTCACAGATTTTTGGTGGAGTTGGTATTGCTTGCCTTCCACTAGGACTCATATTTTCATTTGTCCGCCGCCCTAAAGCTGTTATTACACGCTCTCAGTATATTAAGGTACATTTGTTTAATCGTGGTTGCCAGTCTTCTTTTTTTTCTTTCCCTTTTGATGTTGTGGGGGCAACAGTGCAACTTTAGTCTTCAAACAGTGGGGAGCTTCAAGTACCTTTTGTAAATGAGCCTTGGTTTTCCGCTTCTTAGGAAGCAACTGAACTGGCAAAAAAGGCAAGAGAACTTAAAACAGCAGCTGATGCACTTCACAAGGAAGAAAGGAGTGGTAATAAGGGAAGGAAATGGCGTAAAAACGTGAAAAGCGTAGAGAAGGTTTGTTTTGATCTTTTTTCTCTTTTGATTAATGAAACACGTTCTCTAATAGTCCTTATAATTTCCCTTATGGAAATTCACCAATCAGTGGCCTGATTTGATTTTTTGCCTTTGTGATCTCTAGGTTCTTTTTTAATATTGCTTTCATAAGCTAAATGGATGAATGAACAAACCCCTCCGGATTGTTGCATTATCTGTCTGATATACACACTAGTAATTATTAATACATGCCTATTTTTCAATTACAGGAGCTTCTACTTTTGGAAGAAGACGTGAAAGCTTTGGAAGAAATGTATCCTCAAGGAGAAAAGGTGATATAGGATAAAGAATGAATGGCTGTCAGAATTTGTATTTTCAATTTTGGGGACTAATTTTGAGTCCTCCTTCAAAGCTCCATAAATGATCCAGTGATGATGTTGGAGATGCATGCAGGCTGAAGCAACGTGGGCTATGACAATTCTTGGCTATCTGGCCAAACTGGTGCTTGGAGTTGTCGGGTACGTTATTGTTGTGCATTTTTCTTTTTTCTTTTTGGTTGCATTCTTGAAACTTGAGTTATAGTTTGTTGAACCATTTGTATTTATCGAATGGCGAACAAAGGTTGAAATACTTTCCCCTTTGTTTTCCTGCTTCTATTATAGCATGCGCCTATTACAACATACACTGAACCAGTATCGTTATTTTATGTGGCCATTGTTTTCCAAAAATAGTTTGTTCACAATCACTTGCTGATATCTAAAAGACGATTTGTTCTCTTTTGGCTTGTTTTCTAGAAGAACTTGTTTATTGAATTGTTAATGTTACTGAGTATGATCCATTTTTGTATACAGGTTGATTGTTTCAGTGGCTTGGGTTGCTCATATTGTGATATACTTGCTTATTGACCCTCCTCTTTCTCCTTTTCTTAATGAGGTTTTCATCAAATTGGATGACGTTTGGGGTAACAATGATGTTTCTATTTCTTGTGTCTACCTTTACCTTTTTTCACAAGAGGAACGTATTTGAGGAGCTTCTTGTTTCTTCTTCTTCAAGGTCTTCTGGGCACTGCAGCATTTGCATTCTTCTGCTTCTATCTGCTGCTTGCTGTCATAGCTGGGGCTATGATGCTTGGCCTGAAATTGGTTTTTATTACCATCCATCCTATGAAGTATATATATCTTTTATACTCTTTCCTTTTCCTGGTTTTGGTTCTCTATCTCGTGCTGTAGTTTCGGGTATTTAAGGTTGTTGCCTGACATATTAAAATATTTTTCTAGGTGGGGAGCTACACTTATGAACTCTTTTCTTTTCAATGTTGGCCTCATTCTTCTTTGCTCAATCAGGTAACTGGTATATTGTTTGGTGCTTCAGTTCATATGCTTATCTTCTTGACGAATTATTGGCTTTGGTGAAAGATGGGTACCTAAGACACTATTTCCGAAAGATAGTTCATTATATTGATGTGCTTGTATTGATTCTGTTGAGAACTTTGAAATACCATTTTAGCAGTCTAGAATGTCAGGTTGGCTGAGCAAGTGCTCTGAATTTTACCCACACTTAAAGTTAAACTACTGGTTTCACCCATTTATAAAGCTCAATCAACGCAAGTCCATTTTCGTAACTCACACCTTGTTTTCATATATTAGTTTATAACTTGTGATCCTGGCATACTGTATAAGTAACGTTTTGATTGAACGTTGCAGTGTGATTCAGTTCTGCGCAACAGCATTTGCATATTATTCCCAAGCTACTGCAGCCCAAGAGATCTTCGGTCACACGTTACAATCTCTTCGTGGAATAAAATATTTGTACAAGTCAGTTATCATTTCCTTAGAACTTATATTCATTAATTCCGGTGACAGAATTTTCAGTGCTAAAAAATTATTTGATTTTTCAGGTACAACGTATTTCAGATTGGGTTCATAATTTTAGCAGGGCTTACTTTTGTATATTATGCAGCTTTTGTAAGTTTCGAATCTCTGCCCTTTGTTTTTTCCCATTTTCTTAATGGGTTTTATTCATAGATGGTAAACTTTTCCAGGGATGGAGAAGAAAAAAGCCTAGCGGCAGGTTCCAGCTATCCTCGTAAAAAGCTTGCTCCTCGGGATGTAACTGAATCTGTATGTGCTGGATTTCCTGATTTTTATCGACTAGGAAGGTGGTGTTATATTCTCGTGCGGTTTTTTTGTTTAATTTGTCGCCTGAAGAAGAATACTAACATCATCAAAGGTACTTGGTGAAAGTTGAATTTGATCTGTTGTGCTGCTCTCCTGGTTTTGCTGCTTTGGTTGTTTTCTGATCTTATGTGTATATTGTTGTTTCATTTTTATTTTTTCTTTAATTGTTTTCTACTACAGTGTTTTGTATTATCGACATTTTGAGGTCAAACAGAGAAATTTGGGGGACGATTTCGATGTAATTAATCAGGCAAAATTCGAGTTTTGCTTTTTCTTGTAATATATTTTGATATATCTTTCTTATGATGAACTCTGAAAAGCTGACTGGAAATTTCCATTTAGATTCATCATATTCCAACTTTGAATTTTGCTCAATATATTATTAGTTGCTACTAATACACAAAATGCGAGTAATCCATATATAACTATGTTGTTACTCTATTTTTTTTTTTTCCTTGTAAATTTTTCTCATGTAATAATCCATGCATGAATAGAGAATACATTCAGTCCACGTTTCAGGGGCTTTTTATACTCGTCTATTTCAATTTTCAAATGAAAGTGACACAGATATTAAATGGTAGTCATCATTTACTAAAACTAAATTCAATTCTATTTATTAAAGACTGTATTTTATTGTTTGTTTTGACCATCATTAAAGTTGCAAAGTTCATTTGTACTTAAATAATATTGTTGTACAGTACGGATAAACCAATTTCACCACTTTCAACAGAATTCATCCCGGCGCGAAAATTAACACCTTTCAACATCATCAGCAAGCAAAGGAAATATAATCAAAAAATGGGAATTTTTGATGCTACATGTGGGGCATGTGTAGTCATGCCCCCACACCCCTTGATTTACAGGCACACACACCCACACCCACATGGGTGTGTGTGAAATCAAAAGGGTGGTGGGGGCAAGACTGCACTGCCCCCATCTGTAGCGTCGAATTAGCCCAAAAAAAGGAACCTAACTGGGAAATGTGATAAGTACAGTATATGCTAAAATTATCACAACAGCGGAATATTTTTACATCAAAGTGTTTGCGAAAAAATATTTGCGTGAGGCTCTGTATCGTCTTGCGAAGCTTCGGGGAAATTACATGTTTTTTTTTTTTTTTTGGTCTTTTTTTGGGATTAATATCTTCTCCATTCACGTCATCACGTATTCACGTGAACTGATATGGCAGCATTACAATCCAAACATACATTTTATATATGATCAGTAGCTTTTTTTTTTTGTTTTTTCAATATTTTTTTATTAATTGATGCGCTTATAAATTATTAATAATATGAAGAAAAAATATGAAGAGATGATACATATTATTATGAGAGAGAAAAGAAATTAAATGTGAGGTTGAGATGAACACTAAAATCTTTAACAGAGACAACTTCATCAAATCTGCAAAATTTTAACAGACTTGTTGTTTTTTGCATAATAATTGGAACATGACGACTGTTTTTTTCGGTTGAGGAAGAAATAGGAAGGTTCGTAGAACCAACGTTATTTTGGCGCGCACCCCTTCAATTATAACAAGGGGCTTCTGGTTTTTTTTTCTGTCGTCATATGAGCATGTTGTTATAACTCATACGTACGGACCTTCTAATTCACAAAAAATATATATATATATAATATAATCACAAAGCAACAAATACTCACATCTTTATATGGTATTTATTATTTTTTGTATGGTTATTCTGCAAAATTTTCATCTGACATTAATTTTATACGAGTGTACATTAATTATATTTAATCAGTAACGTTCACCTACCCACGGCGGACACATGTTAATATGTCCATCGCTTATGTGGCATGCACACATTGGTGATGTATTTTTTTAACATATTAACATCACTAATGTCTGAATGCCACATAAGCGGTGATCATATTAACATGTGCTCACCGTAAGTAGGGAAACATTATCTTATATTTAATTAGATAAACTACGAATATATGAGTTTATGTAAAATTTCAGATAAAATACTACTTATATAACGAAATTAATTTACCATCTTCTTTCTCTACCAAACACTACAAAGCTACACGTGTCCATCTGCCAAATGACACGTGTCTCCATTTTGCCACCTCACCCTCCCAACCCCGGAAATTTCCCGGAAAAAACCCTTGTTATATGGGAGCCCATATATACACACACATGATATGAATAACACTCATCACCTAAAAGATATAATTAATTTCCTACACTTACACTTGCATGCACATATTGTTGTAACTTGTAAGAACCCAATAAAAAGAAAAGAAAAATGGCTGGAAAACAAGAAATTGTTCGGTCAACTCAAGAAGCGTGGCTTCTAGAAAACGGTCACATAAAGCCTCTGAGCAAAGAGATGCGGCGGCCGAGCGGCCGCACCGCCCACAACATGTCGTCGTCGTCTCTCCGAAAGAAATCGGATCTTGCCCTGGTTTCGAAAATCCGGGTCGGGTTCTTGAGGATGTTTTTCGCAAACCTTCAGGAGGTCTTGCTCGGGACCAAGCTCGCGTTTTTGTTCCTTGCTATACCCGCCGCCATTGTTGCCCAATATTGCAATTTTGGTAGAGTGAGTGCTTCTTTTTTTCGTCCCTTTTATTTGTTGTTTTTAGAGTATTAACCTTTTAGTTTGAAGTTATCCATATTATTGGCCTGAATTCTAAATAAATATGCATATTCGTATAATTGCCTAATTTTTTAATAAAAAATGAAAATTTTTGCTTTATAAAGTATCAAACTTTACGTCTATATGCCGTGTTTCAGGTATTTTAGCTTGAAATTATATGTATAATTGCCTAAATTTTAATAGAAAGGAATATTTAGTGCTATATGAAGTAGGTTTTGCTGTGACGTCATCAGATGACTCGATTTATAGATTCATTCATAGTTATCCACAAGTGGTGTATTAACAAGTGTCCTGCAATAAATACACACTAGTATACCATGTACAACATGGGTGTTAAGTTTGATGAATATATATGTAAAGTTATTTATGTCTAATATCTAACCTAACTCTAAAGCAAAAATAATATAAAAACAATATCTTCGAAGCATAGATTTTTGTCATGTCAGCATCCAAATCGTGAGAATCTGCCACCTGGGCTCAACACGTTTTGAATTAATATATAGGGAGTAATTGGACACATGTCAATACATAAAGTTATGAATGACTCCATAAGGCCGCCAACCGATGGCTTCATAGAATTTCTAATATGAAGTATCACGTTCGTTGTTTATGCCATTTTTTTTAAGAGTGATTTTTAGTTTGAAAGTATTCGTGTAATTGTCTATGTATATATAACTGAAAAATAATTTAAGAGTTGTGAAATTATAATAAGAAATTTGTTTGATATGTTATCCTCATTTGTAATTTGTTAAAAAATAGATGTATACATGAATTAATTCAAGCAACTGAAATTTGTTGATTGGTTATGAACACAGCCATGGGTGTTCGGTTTGAGCTTAGTTGGGCTAACTCCGCTTGCTGAACGCATCAGTTTCTTGACAGAGTAAGACCAATTTGATTTGATTTTTTATTTTTAAATTCTTTTTATATTCTTCTTTTTAATTAAATTCATAATTTAGCACGAGCTAACAGCTTATATATATATATATATATATATATATCCACTGCAACTTCTTATACAAATGCAGGCAAATTGCGTTCTACACAGGGCCAACAGGTGATTAATTACACAATCTATTCATATCAATCTTATTTTTATTTCATTTTTTTTTTTCTTTAAACCAATTCTAGAGGACTATATATACAATTATAGATATCAAGAATAATATTGATAATATAAATAAACAGAAAAATTGGATCATTATATTGATTTGGTGAGGATCGTTTCCCTTTCCCCAAATATTTGACCGTTCGACTCTATAGACAATTGCAATATATATAGTCATTGGATTTTTCATCGTCAGATCAACGGTGCATTCATCTAACGGTGAAAAACTCAGTCACTTTGTACATGTGTAGAGTCCATATACTACATTAAACATAAAGTTCGACGCAATATTGACAAAACACTGTAGTTTTACGTACACGTTGTAATCTACTTCAAAATCGACAATTCATACGTGTACACTTCGTTGTACCAAGACAAATATATATATAGTAATTAATAATGTTTCTTTTTTTATTATTGTTATGTGATTATTAAATTTGCAGTTGGTGGCCTTCTAAATGCAACATGTGGAAATGCAACTGAGCTTATAATAGCCATACTTGCACTTGTTGAGCACAAAGTTGATGTTGTGAAATACTCTCTTTTGGGCTCTATACTCTCAAACCTCCTCTTAGTCCTCGGCACCTCCCTTTTATGCGGCGGCATTGCTAACATCTCGCACGAACAAAAATTCGACAGAGTAAGTATTTTATTCATCTAAATAAAAATAATAATAATAGAATTGAAGCGTGTCCATCTAATTACTATTACAAATTGTACATGTTGGATATGTTTATTTTATTTTTATTTTTATTTTATTTGTTTCGTTCAGAAACAAGCGGACGTCAACTCTTTGCTTTTGATGGTCGGTCTATTGTGCCACGTGTTGCCGCTGATGTTTAGATTTGCCGGGAAATCGACAGATCTGACAACTGTTGGGACTCTCCAACTGTCGAGGGCCAGCTGTATTGTGATGCTCGTTGCTTACGTGGCGTACTTGGTTTTCCAGCTGTGGACACATCGGCAGTTGTTCGAGGCTCAAGAGGTATTGTTTTTATTACTCAAAATTTCAAAAAAGATAATACTATAATTTGACAAATTGACCAAATATGATAGCATTAGTCAAATTATTGTATCTCCTTTTGATACCGTCCACGCCAGCATTTTATTCGGGTGGACTGATTGATGCATCATATTTGATTCATTTGTAAAAGTATTGTATCTCTTTTGATATGATCCAAATAAATGTCGGACAATGTCCAACTTGGTGTATCTTTCGATAAATTTAGCCGTTTTTATTATCAATGATTTGTCTACTTAATTTGTTATATATGATGTGCAAATTAATTACACAAATAGAAAAAAAGAAAATTAAAATCGAAAAAACATCATTAATTACGTGGAAATAATTAGGGTGACGAGGATAGTGACGTGGTACCGGACGACGATGAGTTGCCGGTGATCGGATTTTGGGGTGCGTTTATATGGCTGGTTTTGATGACAGGTGTTGTTGCTTTGCTGTCGGAATATGTGGTTGCTACAATTGAAGTAAGTTAAAATTTTGACCAAAAAATTATATAAATTATATCATTATATTGATATAATCCTAAAAATAATGTTTTTATTTAGTTATAATAGTAGCTAAATGATATTTATTTTATTTATTTTTTAATTATACAATATATATAGGCTGCATCAGATAGTTGGGGCTTATCTGTGAGCTTCATCAGTGTGATTTTACTGCCAATTGTTGGGAATGCAGCTGAACATGCTGGAGCTATCATTTTTGCATTCAAGAATAAATTGGTAATAAGATATTGAATTAAGTATTATTTTTTGTTTATGTGAAATATTTATTATTAATTATTAATATATGTATTTTTGTGAAAATGCAGGATATATCTTTGGGTGTTGCTCTAGGCTCAGCTACACAGATTGCCATGTTTGTGGTAAGATAATGTGACAATTTATTATTATACACGACTATAATTATTTCATAATTTATTGATTAATTAATCAACCGTATTCCATTCTTAATTTTGATTTTTTTTTTTTTATTTTAAATAATCAGGTGCCATTAAGTGTAATAGTATCGTGGATCATTGGCATCGACATGGGTCTCGATTTTAATCTCCTCGAAACGAGCTCTCTTGCCTTGTCGATAATTATAACTGCGTTTACACTACAGGTGATCGGAAAAGATTTTAATCTACTTTATATTAATGAATGAATGCTTGTCGAAGTGTGTTTTCGATAATTATATATTCACTGAATAAATTTTTGAATAATCAGTAATGAATTAATGGATTTTTTTGTATTATTATTTTATTAAATTTCAGGATGGGGAATCTCATTACTTGAAGGGCCTGATACTTCTTCTAAGCTATGTTATCATTGGGGCTTGCTTTTTCGTGTTTAGGACACCACTTAGTAAGTTTTATAAATAATCCTGTGAAATTTTTTAAATAAACAAAGCCCAACATATATAAAATTTATTATTTATGACAATTATATCATGAATCTTATTATTTGTGTCTCAATTTATTTGCAGATCATGTGGACTCCACGAAACTAGGATTTAATAATGCTGAAGGAATAATGAGAGTTTAATTAAATGGTAAGTATTTTAAGAAATGCTACGGTCCCGTTACAGAACCATTCTGTCAGGATTTGTAACCGTTACATCACCATCTAACCGCTGAGAATAGTTGATCTAACAATTACAAATCGCGACGAAATGCTTTCGTACAGGACTGTAGCATCTCCCAGTATTTTATATCTTCTCCAATTTACATATTTCATCAAAAGGAAAAGTAAATTAACTAATGGTTTTAATTGGACACTGATTAATTTGATGTGTGTTTGTGTGTGTTTTGCAGGTTGAGATGTATTCCAATGGAGATGAGCTCTGCAAAGTTCTAAGTCAGTGGGGATCCATTAAAAAACTTGAAAATTGAGTTTGGAAAATGTTCAAGAGCATTAATCCTGCTTTATTTTTTATTTTCCACTTATTTTCTACTTATTTTCGTTTTCGTTTGCCTTTGTTTTAGTTGTTCTTGCGAGTTCCGCTTTATTTCTTCTTTGTTTTTCTTCGATGCGATGAGTTGTATTGTGTCAAAAAGTGATTCGACGTTGAGATGAGTACATGGTCGTTTTATTAAATATTTGAAATATTAATAAACGAGGTTATAAAAAAAGTTAATGTAATTTGAATACCAAAAAAAATTACAGATATTTATAATTAAAAAAATAATAATTTTAAAAATGTAAATGTAACAAAAATTTGGATGAGCGAGGGAGTTTTACCTGTTGTTTTGCTCAATGTGCTCACATATTTGGGCCTACTTTAGTAAGGAACTTATGGATCAAGGCCCCATATGACTGAACAAAATGGCCCAACATTTGGCCTTGCTTCACATAAGTCAATAGCAAAAATACAATATTAAATATAAAAGTATACATAAATATTCGTAAACAAATTGCAAATAAAAAATTAGGCAACTTGGGACCTATATACAAAACTAGACCACAAACTGACAATTCATAAACTGTAAAAACTAGTTTATCTGTAATTAAAAGAAAATGTTCCATACATTAAAAAAAAAAAAATGTAAGTGAATGGTGTATTTTTCTCTTATTCTTTTATTTATTAGGTTTCCGTATTGCATAGCCAGTCTCTTTTATAACATTGGTATAATTTAATGGAGGCTAATTAACATGGTGCATGGACATAAAAATCACCGTAAATAATGTTATAGACGATAACTAGGTATTTTATATGACTTAAGATATTATTTGACAAAATTATTATTGAACTATATTCCTTATATAGCCTTGGATGTTAAGTTCAACTCGGCTCGAGTTGTACTAGTTAATATTGGTAAATGAAGCAAAATTGTCTTCATTTATCAACTAGTTTAGTTATCGAACTAAGCTCGGTTGGTTAAAGACTCAAGCTCAAGCCCAAGTTCAAATATCAAATCTTCAGAAGCACTCGACTCGGCTCATTTATGTAAAAACAAGTGCCACTAGTTTTTAATCTATATATCTATACTTGTAGACTATTCAATTAATACAATTTTCACCTATTTTATTTCATTTAATAATATTATTATTTTAATTATTCGATCATATAGTATACTGTTAATATTAATTGATTATAATTCATACTAAAATATTTATGAAAGTCACACAGTTATAAAAGATTTTATAGCATTTTTTTCTTCAAAATATTTATTTTAAAATTAATGTTATCCTTTTGTTTTTTTATCTCATTAATTGATTTTTTTTTTTAAATACCCAATTAAGTGTGACGACCTAGAAAAACTGTTAAAATCGCTAAAATAATTGCTAGAGTAGTAGTAATATAATATCTTTTTAACTAATTAATCTATAAAAATTACATTATTCATTATATTTTCTAAGTTTTATACATAATAACAATAATTTATAATTATATTGTTTTTTTAAATAATGATCAATTTTGTAAAATATGTTATTATATTCATATAATTTATAATATTTTATTTCTAAACGTGCACAAATTGATTATGTAAAACTTGTTGAATTATTTAATTCAAACCAGGAATAATTGCAAAAGTATAGTATGAATTCGTCAAAAATAATATATACTCCATATATATACTATAGAATAAACCCCAAAACGCCAAAACCTTTTTATTAATTTCATTTCCCTCTCCCAACATTCTCTCAGAGGCCAGTAGGCCACAGCTTATCTGAACAGAGCAGCGAGCGAGAGGTGCTCCAAAAATGGCTAACAATCGAGCTAGATTAGTCCGACGGCAAATCACAGGCCTCGACGCCGATAATTTCTCCGAACCCGACCAGTTCCACGGTGCCATCAGCCGACGGAGGAGGCGGAGCTTCGCGTGTGTTTCGCTGTCGGAGCATAGAGACGAGAAGGACTTTCCGACGATGGCGCAGCTCATCAATCATCCTCTGGCCACGGTCGCGTTGGTTCCTAAGGACGCCGCTCTCTTTGCTGCTGGCGCAATCGCCGGAGCCGCCGCGAAGACCGTTATCGCACCTCTGGACCGCGTCAAGATCCTTATGCAGGTTGTTTCTCTCAATTTCTCTGTCTCGCTTTTTTTTTATCTTCGTTCTGTTAGGTTCAATTTACATGTTCTGTATTTGATTATTCCTTGGTTATCAGTTGTCAGTGGGTGAATAGCTTATTTGGCATATTAAATTACTTGGAAAGATTACTGTGTTTGATTCTTTGTGAATGGTTATGAAGCTTCTATCTGCTGCATTTCTCGGCGCCTTGTCTGTTATCACTTGTCAGTGGGTGATTAGTTTATTTGGCATATTAAATTAATAGGAAAGTTTTATTGTGTTTGATTCTTTGTGAATGGTTATGAAGCTTCTCTCTGCTGCATCTATCGGCGAATCGAATTTTGTGTATTTAGGTTTAAAAAGTAATTTAATCTAAGTAGTTTCCCCGAGGCACAATGTATGATTTTGTGCTAATGCAAGCCAGATGTGAAAGTGCTTATGCATATTCCTTTCTGTTTTACAGATTGTATGTCATGCTTGATTATAATGAGGTTTTTGATGGATGCTGATAAATAATGAGGCTAGAGCATGTGTCTACTGCAGCGTGCAATTTTATGTATCTAAATACAATATTTGTTCCTAATAAAATATGTTTGAAAGAATTTTGATTTGGTGTGTCTACCTCTTCTTTTACTTTATTCAGACTCGTGGACTAAGAATTGGTCAAAATGCAGCCAAGGGATTGGGATTTAGTGAGGTATGAATGGACTTAACCAACTTATTGAACTGTTTGGTTAATGACGTTCGAAATTTGATTTTGTTTAAAAGGAAACTGAAACACATAAGTGCGCAACTATTTTTTGTCACTCTAAAATTGTTGATATCTAATAAAACACAAGTTATACAAGAGACATAAGGCATTACTTTGCTTGTATTGGAAAATAATACTTCTTGTTTATGTAGAATGAAAGTGCTATTGTATTTTCAAGAGCCCTAGTCATATGCAGCCTGAATTCAACTTCATATATGCGCAATCAGCAATTTGTTCCAATGTGAAATGGTTTGTTGATAGTTGTCTTGTTGGACATAATGTGTGTTCTACAGAAATGCCATATTATTTGACTTTTTTAAAGTAATACTTTACCATATGCGATGATTTTCTGAATGTGAAATTTAGGCCTTGACGTTGATTGGGAAGGAAGAAGGAATTAAAGGGTACTGGAAAGGGAATCTGCCCCAGGTTTGTTACATTCTTTTTCTTTCTGGATTTTTCAAAACCACCTATCTGTAATGACTAATGATATTATCTATTCTATAAGATATGCTATATTAGTTTCTGAACTTCAACGACCTCAGATTCTTATTCTTGTTTCTTAACAATCAAGGTCATACGAGTCATACCTTATAGTGCAGTACAACTGTTTGCTTATGAGACCTACAAGGTACTTTATAATTATTTTCTATGCATGGCATCAGTAATTATGTTAGTTTGTATTTACTAATGCATATTATTTTCCATTTTAGAAACTTTTTCAAGGAAAGGATGGGGAACTCTCTGTAATTGCAAGATTAGCAGCAGGTGCATGTGCTGGCATGACTTCAACTCTTGTAAGTTCTTAGACAACGAACATATTGCTTCAGATATATTGTAGTTTATAACACCTCTTGTCATGGTGGCATTAATCTTATTTGCTGATTGAAGTGAAATTGTTAGGGAACTTATCAAGATAAAATGCAATAGGAATAGATTAAACATTCTTATTAAATGTGTGATACACTTCAAATATGTTTTTTGATTTTTCTATTTTTTCTTCTTCTTTAAATATCTATAAATATCTATATGTGTGTTTGTTCAGGTGACATACCCACTAGATGTCCTCCGCTTAAGGTTGGCTGTTGAACCGGGATATAGAACAATGACACAGGTAACTAGTTAATATACCATGGTATATCGTGCGATGGGGCTTCACATGTGATCTCAAATTACTGCATGTTTATGCAGGTTGCTGTAAGCATGTTGAAAGAGGAAGGCGTTGGGTCCTTTTACAATGGTCTAGGTCCTTCTCTTATTGGAATTGCGCCTTATATTGCGGTCAACTTTTGCATCTTTGACTTGTGAGCTTACCTGTTCTGCACTTCTTTCCTATATATTGTTGTTCAGAAATTAGTTCAAATTATTTGGACTGAAACTTGACATAATTCTACATGCCAGAGTGAAAAAATCTCTGCCAGAAAAGTATCAAAATAGGACACAAGCAACCTTGGGAACAGCACTTGTATCGGCTACTGTGGCCACACTAATTTGTTACCCACTTGATACTGTCAGGCGGCAAATGCAAATGAAGGGTACTCCGTATGTGACAGTTTTGGATGCCTTTTCAGGTATGGTATTTGGTTTGCATGCATTTAGATTTAGTGTTAAAGTTTGTGGCAGAGTAGGTCATAAACTCATTGAGTAGACAATTGAGATTAATTTGTGAGGGGCAGAAAATTGAATACATTTACGGTTTACCATCATACCACTGACTGTACTTATTGATCCGCATGTGGATAGAGTGATCAACTATGTTGCGAACCATCTTTTAATGGGACCATTTAAGATAAGTTGGTGATCATGTTAACCACTTGGGTAAAGCTTTTCTCCTGATGATGTCATAAATGTCAGGACTGAACTGTATTGAGTTCTATTGAGTCAGCCCGATCTCATCAATCGATAGTCATTATCTGTAGTGTCTTATTTTTGTGATTTCCTCATGGATCCTACTTCTGTATGATACAACAGCCAAGGGCATTCATATGAACTGCAATATTTATTTAATTGGATAAACAAGTCATTCTCAGTTTCAGAGCAAGATACGCATGCATATTGATTAGAATGTTAAAAAATATGCCGACTACATATTTTAAGATGCTCATGTCCTGCTATTTGATTTGACATTGTGATTGGAAAAGGTTACAGGTTGTAGTTAATAATTTGTTTGACGAATATTTTTCATTTAGGCATAGTGGCTTGTGATGGTTTGCCGGGACTGTACCGGGGTTTTGTGCCGAATGCATTGAAGAGTTTACCAAACAGCAGGTTCATGACTTTCCTTAGCCTTCTCCATCTACATGTTCATTTTCTCCATCACTTCGAACTTGAGTGTGATATTAGGGTGTGAAGTTATCATGGAATTACAATTATTACTGACCAGAAGCTCATTAAACTTGTGCACTAATATTCGAGTTGAACAGTAAATATTATCCGTCTTCGCAGATTCATTTTTTTTTCTTGGAGCGAAATCAAGCGAGGATAGTGTTTCCTAGTCCTAAAATCTCAATCGTTAGTGTTTTTAGCAAAATGGCCCATGAAAAAAATATGCATTTAGATACATATTTATTTTCGTCTCGTTTTAATCTTCTTTCGCAGCATAAGACTCACCACTTTTGATGCTGTAAAGCGTCTGATTGCTGCTGGGGAGGAAGAATTCCAAAGAATTACAGAGCAGAACCGAAAGAAACGAGATCAAAGTGCTAGCAAGTAGCAAGTAACATGAATAACAAGCAATAGGTTAGTAGTTGATGACGAAATCATGCATACATTCCATCAATTGATTCTGTAGCCTGTAGGAAACAACATTTTAAATCAGAATAGAATTTAAAAAAAAAAAAAAGAAGAAGAAAGATTTTTTTGAGATGATATGAGATCGTTTTTTGGTGTTGTATATTAAATAGCTTGGATTGTTTCTACCCTGCTAATAAATAAGTACTGTATACTTTAGAATACAATGGCATACATGATACATTAATAAATATGAACAGAGTATTCATAGATACGCAGTAACTTGATAAATCGTTATCCCTCTCTATATATTAATTCAAAACGTGTTGAGCCTAAGTGGTAGATTCTCACGCTTCGGATGTTGACATGGCGAAAATCTATGCTTCGTGATTTTATTTTTATGTTATTTTTGCTCTGGAGTTAGGTTTGGTATTAGACATAAATAACTTTACACATATATTCATTAACTCTAACACCCATGTTGTACATGGGTATTAGTACTAGTATATATTACTAACAAATTAAGCCTTACACATTCTTGAATAGCATTTCAATCTATAAGAACACAATTTAAAAACATATTATTATTTATTCACTAGTTCAATAACAATTAGTATTAGTTTCTGTATGTGTTTTATACTTTTATTGTTATGCTAGCTTGCTAATAGCTGAATTCAACAAA